TGATTCTGAAATAGATTCTCCCTTTAATATGAAGGCTTTCGGTTATGACCTAGTCACTCATATAGTGACTTTGATTGACGGAAGAGGTGTACTGGCTGGTTTGCACTCTCCTGATTATTTGATGCCATTTTAAAAAAAGTGTTTATAACTGGCCAAGGCACCAGAACCAGACAGGATGATTTTGATTCCACTTTTACAATAAGGTCCCAGATTAAGAGCTGGAAGGAATGTTAGGGACCCAAAGTCCAATTCCCTAATTATATAAAGAGGTTAAATGATTTGTTGAGGATCACATACTAATAAGTGGCAGAGGCACAATTGAATCCAGGTCTTCCTGACTCCAGGTTTAGAGTTCCATTCCCAGTATGAATACTGAAGTCATCAAGATGATGGGGCAGAGATCACTTCACTGCCAGATGTGGGAGACAGTCCTTGAGCAGGGTGGGAGAGGGACCTGGAGGTCAGTCAAGAGTAGCAATAGGCATTTGGACAGGGCAATAGAATTTGGATAGAATAAACTTCAAGGTGTGTGTGGGGGGGTGTCGAAAAGTGGCAGTAGAGAACAAGGAATCTATTGGCTCTTCCCTCTCTGCCCCTGGCCCCACCATATGTGAGACAGTAGGAAAGGAGCCCTGGAAGATGGTGGCATGAGGTGTGCAGTCTCTGGGAGACAAAACCAGGTTTCTGATGGTGCCAGGATATGGAGGGATGGAGAGAGGAAGGGCTCCAGGATGAAGGGAAGTCTATTAGTGGAATGGGCACAGTCTGGAGGGGGGGCTCCCTGACCATGCCTTCTGACCCTAATCAGGTCAGAGATCCTGATGGCGAGCCCCCCTTACACCAACAACACATTAGGTGTCCCAGTGGCCAAAGAAGGAAAAAGACTGGGGAAGATATTGGGCTGAGGTGGCCAGGGATGAGGGTTTGTCAGGAAAGCGATTTTTGCCTAGACAGGTGGCATTTCTGAATGACAGGGATTAGAGGATCAGAAGGATTTGCCAGCTCTGGAGAGAGGGGGTACCAAGGAGTCAGAAGCTTGTAGCATGAATGGACTGCAAGATACCAGCTGGAATGCTGGCAGCCTGGGTTCTTCGGCCATGGTCTCCTTTTCCCTGGTGGCAGTCCCTTAGGTGAACAGAACAGGGTCCTGCACATAGTAGGGGGTCAGATTATAGTAGGTGAGCCAAATCACAACCTGCTTGAGAGTAGCAGCTGCCTCATTCTCTGTACATGCATCTTCAGGCCATAACAAGGCCTGGGACATGGTAGAAACTTAATATATGTTTGTTGATTGATTGATTGAATTCAAATATCCCAGGCCCTAGAGGACTAGGCAGCAGTATTTTTCTCTTGTTACCCAGTGTCTCCTAGCACAGGGCTCGATCAACACTCCCTGGATTGAATGTGCTCCAAGAGGGGCTACAGCTAAGCCACCCTTTGCCCTGTTTCCCCTACCTCGTGAGAAGTCAGAGGAAGGACTAGTAAAGTCCTCTTCACTCTTCCCAGAGACAGATGAAGCAAGGGATGCTGCCAATTTGGCCTAATTAAGCATAGTCATAGAGACCCCAGGGCCATGCTGAGCTCAGAAACACACCAAAAATTGGATAGAAATTTCTTTGAAAATAGAGTGCAAAGCAAAAGCAGGATGAATACTAAATAGCAGAGAAGAGGATTCAGTTCAACTGCCAGGCACTGAACTACGCTTTGGGGATACAAAGACCAAGATGCCATAGCCCCTGCCCTCAGGGAGCTTGTATTCTATTGGGAAGGGAGAGAAACAGCACGCACGTGGCCAAGTCAGTACAAAACAGAGGATCGATGACAGTGGGGGAATCGGTTAGAATCAAAGAAAGGTTCTTGGAGATCACTGTGTCTAACACCCTCATTATACAAGTGAGGAAACTGGAACTGAGGACAGGGGAAATGACTTGAACACGGTCACACAGCACATTCATCCCCAGGTCTCCTGATTTCCAGGCTGGGCTTCTTTCCATTAATACTTTGACTCAGGTGAAAACTCTGAAAGGAAAAGCCTTCAGGACTGGGTGATATCAATCAAGAAATGCTTCTTTATTCAATATTTCCTGTGGGATTTGAATCCGGTTCGGTATTTGGGAGGGGGAGGCAAAGACAAATCAGCCAATGAGAAGTAAATAAGATTTTGAGGGGCTCTGAGATCAGTTGGGAAGACAAGACATTCCAGGACTGCTGAGTTTGAAGGGATCTCATAGATCAGTTAGTACTGTCCGCACCAAAACATAAATCTCTCCAACTGCATCCCTACCAAATAATAATCCAGCCTGCACTGGGAGACCCCAGTGATGGGGAGCCCAGTACCTCCTGAGACATTCCATTCCATTTTGAGACAACTCTCATTGTTGTCGGAAGTTTTTTCCTTCCATTGAGCCAAAATTTGCTTCTCTGTAACTTCCCCCCATTGTTCCCAGCTCTGCCCTCTGGGGCCAAGCAGGAGGCTGATTCCCCTTCCACGTGACAGGCCTTCAGATACTTAATCGTCCCCTTCTTCCTCTCCTCCCTCCACCCCCAAGTCTTCTCATCCCCAGACTAACCATCCCCAGCTCCTTCAGTCAAGTGACAAGCTCTTTCACCATCCCAGTCACCCTTCTCTGGACATGTGCCATTTTATCAGCATCTTTCCAGAAATAGAGCACCCCAGACTCACAGAATACTCCAGACAGGGTCTGACTAGGACAGTGTGCAGCAAAATGACCACTCCTCTAATTCTGGACACACTGAGACTCTCTCAATACAGGCCATGATTAAATGGGCTGCCTTGGTCACCATATCACACTGTTGAGCTTGCTGTCCACTAAAACCCCCAGATTGTTTTCCAAATGAGCTTTAATCTAGTGATACCTCCCCTGGCTATGCTCCAGAAATGAAAATCCGTGGCAAAACACCATCTTTTTAACGAGCTGCTCATTTCTGAAAACTTTCCTTGCTTTGCTTCATTTGTGGTGATGAAAGCAACACTTGTAGCTGCTGAGGCCTTCAAGTTCTAGTCCAAGGCTTCCAGCCCTTACCAGTGCGTTCTAGCATATTTGAGAGTTGGAAGGGACCTCAGCAGCCATCTAGAATGGTCTATATTCTCAGGAAGCATTCAGGCAGTATCATTTATGCCCACATGAACCACCCGAAATGAGTAGATTATGGCTATCCATTCAGCAAACATTTATCATTCACATACATTTATTAGGCACTGGGAAAGAAACAGAGTTTATATAATGCATGGTCCCTGGCGCTTACAGCCCAGTTGAATAGATAATCTAACCCAACTTCTTTTACAAATGAGTAAACAGAAGCCTGGAAAGGCAAATAATGTTCCCAGATGAAGAAACTGAGGCTGAGTAAAGGGTCTGTTGAATGAATCCATGGATGAGATTTGGCCAAAGTTATTACAGCAGTATCCATAAAGAGGCAAAAGAGGGCTGGGAGACTAGAGATGTCTAATTTCTGATCCTGGACCACTAACTATTTTGTGGCCTTGAGCAAATAATCTCTCTGGGACTTAGCTCCCATTTCTTCTCTCTGTGTCCTAGTTTTCTCCTTTGTAGCAGACTGGAACATCTTTAAGACATCTGCTAGTCCTAATATTCTATATTCCATGTTCAAACATTTAGAGTTCTAAAGTATCTGCCAGGTCTAATGTTCCATATTCTATGTTCTAACATTTCGTCCATATACTGTGGTCTAACATTTCATTTTCTAAAGTTTTTGCCAGCTCTAATATCCCATGTTCTAAAGTCCCTCTTAGCCCTGGAATTCTGTTCTAAGGTCCTATCAAGCTCTGACATTTATGTGGAAAAGAGAAGACATTGATGAGAAATCGCGCTGGGCAGAACGCAACCCTTGTCGGTTCTCTGGTAGCACACAACCTTGTGGGAACTGAAAAGGAGACAGGTAGATGTAATCACTAGCTTGGAGTCAAAATATCTGAGTTCAAATCTTGGACACTTCTTCCTAGCCATAAGACCATGAGTAAGTCAAATGTTCCTTCTGAGCTCCTAGGGAACTCTTAAGAAGAGACCTTCATCTTTTCTGGGAGGGGACTTTGGATTCTCAAAACTTCTACCATTAGAATGCCAACCCCTTCCAAGAATCTCACAATCAAGATCTGAAAGGGACCTGAGAGGTCCTCTCATCCCAGACTTTTGTTTGACAACTGAGGAAATGGGAACCCAGAAAGGGGAGGTGCCCTGCTCACCACCACACAGGGAATCTGTGTCAGAGCCTGACAGCCCGCACCAAGCCGTCCAGTTTTTCCACCCCCCTACACCATGACTACCTCCTTTAGACAACAAGGGCTGAAGTCCCTGAGCCAGAGGAGCTCCAGGGAGGGAGAAGCTGCCATGGGCCCCACACCACCAGAAGTGGTGGCTGCTGGTGAAGTGTCATGGAGAAAGTCCTCAAAAAGGAGCGTAGAGGAACATTGCATCCCACCAGCCACTGGTCAGTGGCATTACCAGGTTTCCTGGAAGTGGAATGCTTGGGAAAAATTCAGATTCAAGGATTAGAGTTCCAATCCCAGCTTTGCCATTTACTCTCTGCATGATCTTGGTCAGGTTAGTTCCCTGGTATGGGCCTCAGTTTCCTCATTTGTAAAATGAGGGGTCTGGCCTCTCAGATCTCTTCCCATTCCTTTCTAAAATCTCGTCATCCTATGACCTGGATTTAAACTCAACGCTACTATTTATTATCAAGATGACCATGGGCAAGTCCCTCTACCTTCCTGGGCCTCAGTTTCCTTCTCTGTAAAATGAGACTTGGCAGCACCTCCAAGTCTATGATCAGCCTCGGGTTCTTTGTCCTGTCCCCCACCAGGCCCTGGCCAGCCCTGGTTGGGGGACTCCCCATTGGCTGCCTTTGGAGTTAAACTTCGTGCATGGGCCCCGAAGGCGGCCTGCTGCCCCGAGCGCTCGGGGGATGGGGGGGAGGGGGCAGCGCCACGCAGCCCAGCCCGAGCCGCCGCCTCCTGCGCTCCTCCTCCTGCCCGGCCCGGCCCGGCCCGCCAGCCCTCCCTGCTGCAGCGCCCCGAATTGAGCCATGCTCGGCCGCCAGACTCCTTGCCGCCCCCTCCCCCTCGTCCCCCTCGTCCCCCTCCTCCTCTTCCTCCTCTTCCTGGCCTCCCCGGCCACTCCGGGGCCCAAGGAGAGTGACTTCTACAACTTCAAGGTGGTCAATATCAGGGGCAAGTGGGTGTCCCTGGAGAAGTACCGCGGCTCGGTAAGTGCGTGGGGCACCGGGGCATTCACCATCCGCCCCCACCCCCACCCCCACCCCTCACACCCCTCACTCTTCCTGGCCCCTGGCTTCAGGCCCCAACTCCGAGGGGCCCAGGCTGGCTCTGCAGCAGGGGCATGACTCCGTAGGACTCGGGCCCAACCCTAGGATCCAGACAGGATGAAGGGGACTGGGGGGGAAGAGGGCTGTTTGGAGGGGGCGGAGGAGGGGGGATGGGCGCGCCTCTCGAGCCGCTGGAATCCGGCTCGGATTTCCCCCCAAAGCGGTAGAGCTGCTCAGAGCCCTGGCCTCCTGAACTCTTCTCCGCTAACTGCCCGGCCCTCTCCCACCGGCCTCCCTTGGCCGGCCAGCAGCCCTGGAGTCTACGTGGCACGCCCCCGCCCCGGGAAGGGACTCAGCCCCATTCCCACCCCCCGGCGTTTCCAAGGGGGTTAAAGACGGAGGATGTAAGGAAAAGGGCTCTTAGGCCTCACTCGGTCAGGGGCTTGGTCCCCTGGGGCGGGGCTAGGTGCTGTCTCATCTCTGAACCTCAGTTTCTGCATCAGTCAAATTGAAGTGCTGCTCCCTACCCCACCTCTCCCACCGACAGGGTTACGGGGAGAATGAAGAGGGAGACACACATCTGTGCCAAGACTGCATGGTCCAGTTAGTGGGCAAATCACTGGGTTGGAAACCAAGGGACCAACTTTGGCAGAGACCAAGCTGGTTAACTGGTCCAGTGGTTTCTCCTCTCTCCCTGCCTTCATTTCCTCATTTGTACAATAGGCAAAACCTCCCTGACCTGTCCTGGATGCACATGGGCTCCCACTGGGCAGCCAGGGCCCTGGCAGCAGGTGGGGATGCCCAGGTGGGCAGCAGAAGGAGCTGGTGCTGCTTTCGCAGTGTTACAGACACTCCAGGCTGGAGGGACCCTCCAAAGGCAACTAGTCTGGGCCTGGGCCTACTGGAGCAAGAGTCTTCCTACATGGTGAAGAACACCTGGTCATACAGCCTCTGCTCGAAGGCCTCCTATGAAGGGAAAGCCCCTGAAGGTATGAGGGATGGGCAGCCTGTGCCACAGAGGGACAGCTCGGAGTGGAAGAAAGCCTTTCCTGACGTCCCACCTAAATCCAACTCGGCAGCTTCACTGCTCTGGGGCCCAGCGGAACTCATGTAATCCCCCAGATGTAGTGTGGAAGGAGAGCTGGGCTTGGAGTCAGGAGGAATTTGGCCTTGGGATTCTGGCTTGGATGCTTCCTAGGCTTCACAACCTCCTAACCCAATCTGGTTTAAATCAATCTAATTTGACAAGCAATGTACCAGGCACTTTGCTCGTGCTGAGCATACAAAGACAAAACCAAACATTCCCTGCCGTCATGAAGCTGACAGTCTACTGGACACATGGGAGGTAGGGATAGATAACACGTGTAGCCCAGTCACTAGAAGCATTTGAGCTTGGAGAACTCGGGAGCACCTTCTGCTAGCAGATGGCTCGTTAGCTGAGCCTTGGCAAAAACCACCCAGTGACTGCCTTCAAGGAGCTTCTAAACTAGAAAATGAAGGGATCAGGAGAAGCCTTATGTGGGAGGCAGGGTGGAAAAGCCCAAGTCAAAGGACCTGGGTTCAGATCCCATCTCTGACATTTCTATGGGACTGGGCAAGGCAAGTAACCTTGGGTCTCCAGATGTCAAATGAGGGGGTTGGGTGAGGGGCAATTTGGGGCTATTTCAAGAAGGGCACAGCTTCCAGGAATAAGGAGGTGATCCTCCACTGTCCTCTCCTTGGTCACACAGCACAGTTTTGTGACATTAATAAGCTAGAGGGCCAACAGGGTGGACAAGTGTCCCGAGTCCATGTTATATGAGCGTAAGCTGAAGGAACAAGGTGTGCTTAGCTTGAAGACAAGGAAGCCATTATGGCTATTTCAAGGATTTGAGGGAAGGTTATGTGGAAGAGGGGATAGATGTGTTCTGAATAGCTTCAGAAAGCAGAACCAAACGCAAGGCAGGAAGAATTTCTGAATGGAGCTGTCCAGAAGTGGAATGGGCCGCCGTCTGCTCAATGAAGGCATCAAACAGATGTTGGATGGCTGCTGCTTGCATATATCCCACCGTAAGTCTAAATGGCTGCCAAGATCCCTTCTAACTCTCAACTTCCATGACTCAGTGACTTCTAAAGGCTCTTTCCTTTCTAAGAAAGAGTATTGACATCACAAAATATTAAAGCCTTAAAGGACCCTAGACACCACCTCTCTCATTCTTCTTGGTTTGACAGAGGAAGAAGCTGAGGTCCAGAGGGGTGGTAGCTTTTGGAAATGAATGACAAACTTGAACCCGGGCCAACCAGAATCTGGTTCGGAGGCCAGTGGTCCTTCTAAGATGCTATGATAGTCAATTCAATACAATTTAATTAAATTGGTTTCAACATTTATTCTAACCAGATCAATACTACCTTTGCTGCACAAAGCATCCCATCTTCCACCTCTGTGTCTTTGCATGAATTGTTGCCCCCATGCCTTGACTCTGTCCCCTCCTCACCTCTGTGTACACCATAACCTTCTTGAAGACAGGGATTGTTTGGCTTTGGGCTTTAGATTCCAAGGGCCCAGCCCCATGCCTGACAACAACTAGGCACTTAGTCAGTGCTTTTTCTTTCATTCATTCATGCCTCCATTCATTCTTTCAAGTGCCTTCTAAGTGCTGGGTGCTGGAGATGCTGAAAAAAGGAAGGCTAGGATGAGAGTGAGCAAAGCAGCTGATACCTTACCGAGCAGTTCCCATGCTAGAGGCTGTACTCCACTCCTGCCTGTTTAGGTAACTGTTGCTGGAGGACCCTGTGGCCGGCTGCCCCAGACCCGAGCAGAATCTTGAAGGGGGCAAAGTTGGTCTAGTGCCCTGCCTGTGTTGTTCCCCTTTGCTTCCTCCCCCGTTTCAGAGGCTCAGAGCATTTTAATAGGAGACCTCAGAGATCATCTAGGGAAGCAGTATAGTAGGGAAGAAAGGATGCTGGTTTGGGATTCATGGGACCTGGGTTCAAATCCTGGCTCTGCCATTACACTACCTATGTAACCTTGGGGAAGTCACTTCTCAGTGGGTCTCAGTTTTTTTCATCTAAATGAGGGGACTGGAATAAATGGCCTCTGGGGTTCCTTACAGTTCTAGAGCTAGGAACCTAGCCCAACCCGTACTGGATAAGAATCTCCACCATGACATCCCCAGCCAAACAACAAGCATTTATTAAACACCAACTATATGAGTGATGGGATAGAAATACCAAGAATGAAACATTACTACTCTCAATGAGTTACATTTTAATGAGATGGACAAGGACATTTATAGCTATATGCAGTATAAATATAGAGAGAAGAAATACAAATAATGACAAAGTACAAGATAATTTGTGAGGGAAAGCACTAACTTTCAGTCAACAAACATCTAGCGACGTGCTAGGGAAACAAAGAAAAACAACAACACGGCACCTGCCCTCAAAGAGTTAACATTCTATGTGTAACTAACTAGGTACATACAAGATGTAGCCAGTGTCGATGGAAGTTGATCTCAGAAGATAACGTCTTTGAGCTAAGTCTTGAAGGAAGCCAGAGAAATTAGGAGGGGGAAAAAGATGAGGCAGAGCATTAAAGGCGTGGAGGGTGGCCAGTGCAAAGGCAGAGGCTGCAAATGAAGTGTCCCTGAGTGAGGAGTAACAATGAGGCCAGAGTGATTGGATGGCAGAATACGTGGAGAAGTGTACGGTGAAGTGGAAAGGTAGAGGGGACTTTAAATGCCAAACAGGGGACTTTACATTTGATCCTGGAGGTAATGGGGAGCCACTGGAATTTATTAAGGGGCAGGGGGGACACGATCAGATCTATGCTTTAGGGGAAATCACTTTGGCAGTTTCCTGGAGGATGGATTTTAGTAGGGAGAGACTTGGAAGCAGGAAACTCGTTAGAAGGCTGCTGCACTAGTCCAGAGAAGAGGTGACAAGGATATGAGCTAGGTTTGGGTTGGATATGTGGAGTGACTGCATGTAAGGAGGTGAGGATGATGCTGAAGACGCAAGCCAGGGTGCCTGGAAAGATGGTGGTGCCCAATAAAGAAGCTGGGAAGAGGGAAGGGTTTGGAGGGAAAGATAATGACTTCTATTTGGGACTTGTCTATAGGACATCCAGTTTGAAGAAAGCCTCAGGGGAGCATTGCCACAAAATCTTAGAGACGAGAAGGTGATTGTCAGCATCAATGGCTGTAGAGAAGCCAAGAAGGCTGAGAACTCAGAAAAACCAGGAGATGTGGCAATCAAGGGATCATTGAGAACCTTGGAGAGAGTAATGAGATCAGAAGGCAGCTGGCAGGAGAAGTAGAGGAAGTGGAGGCGTCAAGTATAGACCTCTTTCTCAAAGAGGTCAAAGAGAAGCCAGGACATAAAGTAAGGAGCCTGATAAGACAGGTTGGGGCCAGGTTGTGTAGGGCTTGAAAGCTAAAGAGGGGAGCTTCTATTTTATTGTAGAGGCAGTAGAATCGCTTTTGAGAGTACCATGGTCAGATCTGTACTGCATTAGCACTACATGGGGTATACTGGAGTGGGGAGAGATTTGAGGCAGGAAGACCAATTAGGAAGCTGTTGCAATAATCTAGGTGAGTGGTTGTGGAGGTCTGAACCAAAACGACAGCTGTGTGAGTATAAAGAAGGGGACAGATGTGAGAAACGTGAAGATTGAAGTGGCATCCAGCCACTGTCGAGAAGGACCCCAGCTCCTCTTGGGGCAGCGCATTCTAACTTTGGACAGCTCTGACTGTTACAGAACCTTAACTTACTCTTCTGTTCTTGTACTTGCTCCCCGGTCTCCTTCACCTCCCTTTCCTATTCTCATGGTCATTTCATTTCTGGTCATTTCAGTGTTTGAATTTGACAAGGAGATCCTAGAGAAGAGAGAAAGGAATGGATGGCTAAAAGTGAAATGTAAGAAATGGCAGCATCTGGATGGTGGAGAGAATTTGGAAGAT